GCCATGTAAATATTACTTTCATAAAAGTCTTGAGAGTTTGCCGTATAGACAGATGACTTGATCGTTTGCAAAAAAAAGAGAATGTGAACTGTTGCTTACTTATTTTATCATGTCTTTGGGGGAGCTAAATTCTATTTATCATTGATGACACGAGCACCAATTGTTCCTAATTGATCAGAATTTATCAATTATGCAAGAGTCTTGTATATCGTGGCCGCGCGCAATAACTGCGAATATTGACAACATGAGCAAAATATTAGCTGCTTTCCACTTGTCTTCTCCTTCCACACACCAAATGTGTTGACATTGTTGCGTTAGAGGGGAAAGCGTAAAAATCAGTATTGGTGGAAGTTTTGCCGCGAAACAATACCGCCGACGTCGCCGATTTGATTTATAAGAACATCTTCATCCGAATTGGGAAAACCAATTTTCCAAGCCGCAAACATAATGCCACTGTGGACTATGTACAAAAATGCGCTCAAAACTTTGCAACTCTACAGATGGGTGCTCGTGAAAATTGAATGTAATATCAAAACGGCTCTCTCTCGCATACACACAATGACACTTGCCATCTTGAATGGAGGGAACAGAGAAGACACAAATATTTTGAATATACCTGCCTTTCGTTTTTGCATGACTTGTCTGCGACATGAGGATGGCTGAGCTCAGCATCGTTGCTTTATGGCATTTTCTTTCTTTTGCGATGTTTGATGATTTGGAAAATAATTGATTGGCCAGAGTATAAGCGTTGACTTGCATGGATACCTATCGAATAAGTTTGTGTTTCTGCCCTAACGCACGCACACATGGACTTCACTCATTTGTGTGTTTTCATGCTCGAGTCGAGTCTCTCAGGTCTCAGACGTCTTCTGTCCATTATTTACACATTGGTTGTGTAGACGAATACCGCATGTTTGCACATAAACTTAAATTGGTTGCTTGTACTTACCTAGAGAGGGGACGAGAAAAGAAAAAGAACGGGAAAAAAATTAATTAATCGATTAGTTAACATTTTATCGGAAACTTTGACACATTTTCATCAAAAGATCCCCTTTGTATTTACTCTAATGAATTTTTTATAAGCACAAGCCTTGTTGTCAGCTCTTGCTAAAGTAACATGATTTTTAGCAACAAGGACACTTATCGATCAATCACCGTACTCGAGCTCTGATTGAATTACTCCTAACTCTTTCTTTCATTCAACACCGTTTTCATACCACTTTCAGTCACGAAACAAATTTCTCTCCTTCAAAATGCTTCTATATGCGTATGCGTATGTGTGTGTGACTGTTCAAACATATTTATGGAATCTGAATATATCGTCTTGTTTTGGCCATTGGAATTTGCTTCGGTATTTTCAGAACAATTTTCGGAGCAAAAAAATGGCGAATATTTTCTAAGTAAGTGTTTACATTTTTGTGTGTGTTCTGCTGAAATAAGCCATGAGATAAGGCATGAGAACCTTTTTCCTACGTCTATTATACATTGGATAGATGTTTTGTAAGTTTTGTCTTAGCTTGGTTCGGATTTTGCGGCATTTTCTGGTGTGAAGTGGCCGCAACACAGATGAATAAAGACAACTTATACATATTCGAGACAAAGTTACATAGGAATTTATGAAATGGACTGCAATTTTTGTCCGTATTGTTGTTGTTGTTGTTGTTGTTGTTGTTATTGTCGTCGTCGTCATTATCCTAATTGATTCTAAAACTAAAGACACTGATGTATGGCAACCGACGTTGACTCGGACACTCTTACTGCGAGACGGTCTCACACATTGTCCATTAAGTTTTGCAAATAGTTTGGATCGACCATACGTACGAAAAATGTGTAAAGAATTCTTTTTTTTCCAAAAGTTTTTCGGGCACGACATTTCCAGCACCAAGTTTCACCGGACAAACTCTTTCCATGACCTGCTTTATTATTATTTAATTTGAATGTGGTGCCAAACTCGTATGCTCGTGTTAATAGTGAATACGATGAGCAAAGTTCGTAGTCAGGTCTGATACCTGTTAGTAGGAATGTGTATTGTTTCTGGTTGGGTCTCTGTGTATGTGTCACAGAAGATAAATACAAAGATTACAATTAAAATACACATCAGCAGCAGGAGCAACAACGTCAACGGCAACGGTTGTGGCATCACTGATGCCGGGCATCAGCACACGAATTCCGTTATTTAAACCGATCTCACGTTTTTTTCCTCGTGTATTGGATGAAATGTTTTTGTGACAGTGCAGAGGAAAACATTTGAAAATCGAAATGAGAAAAGCGGAGAAGTGAAAGTTAATTGATTCCATTTGTAAAAACAAACGGAAACGGCAAATGCTGAATGTGTTCATTTGAATTGAATGTAGACAAAAGCGCCGCTAATTTGGTTTCAATTGATTTTGTTCGACATTATTTTCCCGTTCATTCGACATCTTTTTCTCTATCTATCTCTCCATCGTTCTGGCCTTTTGACCTGTTACCTTGTGAATAATTAAAATTTCCGAACGTAAACACAACAAAAATCGATGTAAACAGATTTTCAATTGATTCGTGATAAAGTGAATGCATTTGCACTCATCTCAGACATGTTCGAGCGCACAAATCTAATTTGGAGCCGTCACTCAAATAAAAACAGTATCAGATTAAACAATTCAGCGCTTGAAAGAGTGACGATACGATTCGATTCCAATTGAAAGGGCTTCAAAATGCTGATTTCGCTATATACTACGCATGCATACAAACGAACGAACGAACGAACGACCAAACGAGTGAAAAAAGAATGAATTTGTTTGAGTGTGTTTATGTGTGTGACAGAGGCAGAGCGACAGAGACCGAATCGATTCGCTTCACTTTTCGAAAACGATACGTTACGATGTGAATCGCAAATCGAAAATCCGATCGCCATTATTTTTGGTATTGGTTTATCTTTCTCATTTAGGTTTCATTTTCACATATTCGCTTCGGTTTGGGCGTGCAACGGATCGACCGACTGAACACTCGCATATTTAACATTACATTTTGAATATATGCCAGTGACAATTGCAAGCAAGACTTAAATGTCGATACTGTAGACAGCAAAAACGAAATCAATGCATAAAACAAACGATGCTGTCACCGCTACATGAATAAACGCACACCCATACACGAACAACCAAATAGAAGACAGAACGAGAACTGAAGAGAATAGCGTTCTACAGATGTGATCGTGTGAAATGAAACGATGCCGACACGAACACCAAAACGAAAGAATGAATAGCATACACACAAATAACGTCGGACTAAGTAGAGTGTATAGCTGTATGTATTTTGTGTTTGGTGAGGTATCGAAGCAAACCGGTTGAAGCATATGAAGAGCATTGGACAGAGCGCGCTTAGTGTGAAGGCAAAAGAGACGAGATAAAAAAAAAATACATGAATGTCAGTCATATACAAATAGTCGGTGCTTTAACATCATTGCATTTTGTTGAAAATCTGCGAGTGTCGAGTCTTGACGCAAAACGGAGAGCCACCGTACCCAAAAAATTGAAAGCAAGCAAAAAACATAATTTAATACGGCAAACTGAACGTAACCAGAAGAAAAAACAAGAAAACAGAACAGAAAAAAGCAGCACCGACAACAGAATGGAAAATAAGCAAGTGACAGAAGTAAAAACGGAAAACAAAGACGAAATAATTTGTGAGCATCATGCAGACGAAAATATAGTGGAAGATCAGCACGAAGGGACGGTGGTGTGTTCAAAATGCGGCGTTGTGATTGTCGAGCAAGTAATTTGTGGAATTGCCGAATGGCGTGGATTTGCCGATGATACTCAATCGGAGAGTTGGGAGCGTTCGCGTGTTGGTGGACCGGCCAATCGATTTCTGAGCGGCGGTGCAAATTTAGCCACAACCATTCGACCGGCCGACGGCAGCACCAACTCAAGACACGATGGCGATTCGTTCAATTCGAGCATTTTACGAGCGGTCAAACGGAAAAGTGTCGATAATGGAATATACTACGGTTTGAAGCAACTTGATGAAATGGCCGATCGAATTCATTTAACGCAATCGGTGCTCGAATATGCATACTACTTGTACTACAAAATGTACAAAAAGGGTAAATTCAAAGGCATCGCACTCGCTACGGATGCTAAAGTGGGTGCATGTCTATACATTGCCTGCTATCACGCACAATGCCCGCGAACCGTGAACGAAATTTGTGGCATCAGCGAAAATGGTCACCAATCGATTCGTCGTGCCATCCAGAGAATCACCAAAATGCTAAATCTTCCCGTCGGTCCGATCGAATGCCGTGATGTGTTGCCACGATATTGTGCTTGGCTCTCATTACCCCATCACATTCAACGCGAAGCAATCGCTGTGGCCGATACACTGAGTAAATTTGATGATAAGCAACAATTTGAAGTGGAAACTTTATCGGCAGCCGCAATCTATTTCGTAACACAGCAATCGACATCGCTGTCACACAAACGCAGCAAAATCGAAATTGCAAACAGTTTGGGCGTCACAACCGAAGACGTATCATTTTGCTATGAATATTTTCAACAGAATTAATTTTATGATCCATTTGTTTATTTCGTTTTTGTGTTGCTCAGTATTTTCATTCCATTTTATTTATTTTTTTTTTTTTTTGAGTACATATCGTTAAAAAATTTGTTTAAGTATCGTTTACTAAACTAAAAAATAGTCATTATGAAAAAATATGAAATCATAAAAATCATAACATTGTGCAAAAGGTTTCGCGTTCAAGCGAAACATTGAAAAAAAAAAAATAAACATAAAAAGATACGATATTCTTTTCGTTTGTTTGGAATTCTCTGAATTGAGTCTGTTTGAAAAGAAAAAAAAATCGATTATAAATAAAACTAAAATGTTGCATTGTTTTTACGCTCAATTTTGTTTGTTGTTTCTATTCTTGCCTTTTTATACAGTAGCGAGGCCATCGTTAGAAGTCGAATATTTTCGGGTAAGTGACTCAAAAACGTTGACATGGTTATGACAGTGTCGCTGCTGTTGTATTGTGTACTGTTTTCTTAGAATTGTTCTTCTTTCGTTGCGTACTGGTCTAACCAACTTGCAAGGCTCGTATTGAACATGAAATGTCAGAACACAAGCCAAGCGAAGTGAAACCGTCTCTCTCATTTGACAATTTGTGTCTGTTGTTGTTCATAAAATGTGTACAACAATTTCAGAGCGTGTGCTTCAGTATCAATTTGAAGGGTGAAAAAGATGTTTTTCGCAAAAAATTGCTTTTATCGCGAATTCCGCTATTTTCTCCCATCATTATTATTGTTCACATAGATCTATTACGTTGCAGTGAATCAATCAATGGCATAAACGACGAAAGGGCATTGAATTCATGAGCTCATGCGGTTCGTGAGCGATCCATCGAGATTTTTTTTTCCTACCATTTACTGAGTGAGCCATTCTAGGTATGTGTGTTTGTGTGTGAGTTGGAATCGAACGATTTAGTGCAGCAGCAGCTTGCATGTTTCTGTCGAATAAATCACCTTAAATTTAATTATACTTTATGTACACAAATATATATCTTTCTCGCCATGTCATTGGTTCGACAAAGAAACCTGCTTCGATTACAAAAGTAATCACACATCGCATTTTTTTTTTTCGTATTCGCTGCATAAGAAAGAAAATCAAATGGACTTTATGTACATGTTAAATGACGCCTGAAATTTTTGTCCAATTATGAAAAGCGGTAATGGAAACATTTGTGAAACACAATGAGCGAAGAAAAAATTATTCCATTGAAGACGTAGAAAAAGAGTGCATTCTTATCAATAGCCGCATGCACACTACATTCCGAGGTTTTTTTTTTTTTTTTTTAAATTGCATATTTAAATAAAAGTGCAATTTATTATTGGTTCTCTTTTTTTGGAACATAAAACGAATGCGTCTTTTGCATGCAACATCACTATGCCGGCATACCAACACACACTTAAACACTGAAAATGCATTATATATTTTTATTTCTCTCTCATTTTTTTTTCTCCTTTTATCAAGCTGAAAGCAGTTTGGGGAGCGACAAAACCGAAAAAAACACCACCAACACCACCGCCACTGATGGGAAAGCGTGTGAGTAGAAATTATGGAGCAAATCGCGTGCATTTATGAATTTTTTCCTTAATTTACACATTAGAATGTATTAATTCATTCTTCTATTTGGACGTGTTCACCCATGGATATTGTGCTCCGTATATGTGCGTGTCTTCTCCATTTTCTTTTTCTAACCGACAACATTTTTCCATTCTTTTTGTTTCTTTTTCTCTCTCTCTCCCTGTTGGTGCGCGCCTGTTCCAGATCTTGTTCTCGTAATATCACTGATTTCACATTGAACAAGCAAATTATATTCCCTCAAAAATGAGCACATATTTATTTACATCATTTTTTCCATTTTGCCATTTAACACGCCATTTTAGATCTCCATAAAATATTAATTTTTGAATAAGAGCGCTCAATTCTAAGTAACACATATTTCATTTAGTTTCATTTTTTTTTCTTTTTCTTGTATGTGTGTTTTTTTTATTTCAGGGAGTTCATTGTTGCATTAGCAATTGACTTTCTTACATATCGAGCTCAACATCGACCTTGTCGAACATCTCAATTGCGACACAGTAACAAAAAGTATAGCATTATGGCGACATTTAAGGCAATAATTTATAGTTTGACAAAAAATGTACCTAGTTACGTGTTTTGCTTAATGAACATGTTGACCACTTATTAAAAGGCAGAGAAATTTTTTTTTGTCATTGCAGATGAAGCGGTGTGAGTGACTCTTGCAGAGAAATCCACTGTAATGTAATATCATAACATACGAAACGGAACGAAACTTGGTGAAAATTGAGTTTTACGAGTAGCCGCCAACAAAACGTAAAACGGAGACGAAACGACAACACTCATACACACCCACGAAAAAAAAATTATCATCGTTTACACAGAGAATACACTAGCGCAATACCAAATTCGACACAGAGTAGTAAAATTGTTAAGTCCAAATGTGCAGTGAGTGCACACTGCACACTGCACTCTGCATAAACAAATAGAGAGTTGTGGAAAATTTTAATTGGAATTTATAACAGCGTTATTTAATTTAATTGTTGGCTTTATAAAACTAATAAAATTATGAGGTTGTTCATATTCGTCCCCATAGAGAGATGGTAATATTTCGATTTCCGGAATGAAGTTGAAATTGTTCGCTTCGCAAGAGATGTACGGCATTCTCTTTTTTGCTCACTCGACATATCTCTCTCTCCTCTTCTCTGTTTCGCGAATTTGTCAAATGTATTTTGTACGATAAAATATTGGAACCGTCGTTTGGCGATAGAAGCCGAATGAATACATCACTTCATAAATGAGAATGCCATCTCTTGATCTAATTGACTGGACCCACTCATCCGGATTTTGTTTCGCTTCTTTTTTTCTCGAAATTGTTTCCATAATATTCATTCATGTTTATTCATTTCATTTGAATTTTCTTTTGTTTTGTATTTTCAAACATATCGGTATCGGTTCGGTGTGGATTTTATTTTGAGACTTAACTTTTTTACAATGCTAATTTACCTTTTTCCAAATTTTGCCAAAAAATATATTGAGAATGCAACGATGGTGCAATTATAATGGGCATAACACATTCGGAGAAAGACACAAACAGTGTCACATTCATTCTTTAGTTCTAATTTTACCATTTTAAGGCCATAAAACCATTCTGCCTAATTGGTACGAATGCATACGAGTTTTTGCACTCTTTCTTTTTTTCATTTTGGGTTTTTATTAATTTATTAGTTCTGTCATTTGGGACCTAATGGATAAACTTTTTGCTCAACAAATGCAATAATATACAGAGAAGTTTTTCTATCGCTTTTGTTTTGTCCTGTTTTCATTTTTTCTTTGTTTCTGTCTCTCTTTCTCTCCAAATGCTTTTTTATGATGAATTGACATTTTTCGACTAGAAAAAAAAATGCGTCCGAAAATTTCACAACTACTGAATGTATTCGAATTGAATTATGAGTAAAAAAAAAATAGAATATGTGTGTTTTTTCAAACTATCCAAACTGAAAGCGTTTACTCGACTACTAGCTGAGAATTTACATTGCGATAACATGGCTATTGTAAGCAACCATAAAAACTGACATCAATGCAACGAAGTGTAAAATCGATGAATGATTTAATTGCTGCTTCACACCCTCGAACCACTTGCGTTGCTGTCAACTTGTGCAAATATTTTGTAAATGTTATTTCATGAAATTAACTAAAACCCATCCTATGTAAACATGGAATCGGGCCCGAAACAATATGGTGAATCAGAGATTTGAAGCGAAAAACAAGTAGGTAGGAAAATGAAGCGCGTAAGCGCTAGGAAGCGGACAGAATTTCAGCTTGGTTTTCAAATTGAATGTGTGTGTGTGTGCACATGTTCGATGCATAGGGTATTGATATGCTGCACTCGGCGAAATGTAGTTTGGGAGAGTGGATCAACTTCAAATCTAGTGCAAGTTTATGAAAATACACTTAAAGTGTCAAACTTTAATAATAAACTATAAATAGTGTCAAATGAGAACTTTGCATTCTCCAAAAACCACAATAAATTCTTAGATACGATAAACAAAAGCTGAAACGATTTTCGTGCATTCTCCACTCTCGTTTACGCTCGTTGTCTTGTACTCTCTCTCGCTGTCGTCGGTGTTGCTTTTTGTTTTTGATGTGTTGTCATCGGTTTTTCGAGCTTAGTTGTGCAATTCTCATTTTGGTGTGTGTTCACTTTACACACAAATACACAGAGTATTCTAGCATACCTCATACTTTCACGAGAATCCGAAAAACATCCACGAAAATGCATTGCATACATGGACGACAGACATGCATGACAGAAAATTTTCTGTATAGAGCATAGGAAGTTCAGCAATTTCTCGATAAAAACAGTTTGACAACAACTGAAGAACTAAAAAAAAATGCAACGACAACAACACAACTGAAGCACGTGTGGACAAACAAGCAAGCGAAACGTAGTGATAAATACATGGGACCTGTATGTTGCGCTACACAGTGCAAGAGTGTGAAAAACATACGCTTGAGCGTAAATGACGATGAGGAAAATGCATATCGAAATACACCGACGCCAAAATCGAAAATTCTTGCTATACCATTTCTTGAATTTCTGTCGCTCAAAATATCTGCTCTATTCACAAATTATTTATGAAATGTGCAGCGGAAAAAAAACCCTGGCATCTCGCTTTCTATCGTTCACCCAGCCATTTCACTTCATTTGCTATCTATGGTTACACTGTGATCGTACGCTATCATACTATTGTTCCATACCGTATCGTATTGCAATATAGGAAAATTAGATATTAGCCAAACGCATCATACTGAGCGCTCACGTATAATATTACATCTGCGTTTTATTTCCTATTGCCCCTCATCGCTTCCACTCGTTCCATCCGAACCAAGAGAATTTTAGAACGACAGGGATGGAGTGGCGACATGGATGGAGTGTGGAAGAGAGAGAGACAGAGAGAGAGAGAGAGAGAGAGAGAGAGAGAGAGGTGATGTGGATTTTGATGTCGCAAATATTTGGGAGAAATTTCATTAAAAAATGAAACTGAACATGAAATTGTGTACATTGCATACTGCAGAGCGTTTCGTTCGCCAAAATACAACACATGCGAATGAGATATGTTCATAAGTGTGCAGTGCGATGGACCAAAGGATCATAGAGGAATTGAAAGGAACGACTGACGATGAGAAAAATAAATACATACATAACCAGTGATGCAGGCATGTAAAACCCCATCTACAAACTCAAACGACCAAATATCAAATAGAAATTTTGAAGCACAATAAGAACTTTGATGACGATCTGAGAACATCACACATAGACACAATCTCACCAAAAAAAGCCAAACTAGTAAAATGTGTCGCAGAAGGCTAGCACACAGACACACAGAGCAAGAGACACCAACTGCTCATATGACTAAAAAAAAAGCTGAAATGTTTTGCAAGCATAAATAGGAATCCGGCTAGCGCACATCAGCAACGAGAGCAAAAAAACACAACAAGAAAAAAGGTAGGAGTGTGACAACGGGAAAAAAATACGCAATGTTCTAAAAAGAGTTCGGCTCAACTAAGAATTTATTAGTTTTGTTTTTTGACACTGCGGTTTGTTTTGGCTTGTCTGTTGTTTTGCTGCACACTTTATGTGAGTCACTTCCCTTTTTGGATGTCTTTCTTTTGAACACTCGCCGAAATGGACACTTATTAAGATGCAAAAGTACGACACAAAAGAAGTAAGAACACAAAATTAATTCACTAAGAGCATATGTACGTGTAAATTATGTTGTTTATCGTTTTTTTTTCTCTCTTACAGCGGGGAAAAAAGGCTATGGCTGCTTTGTTCATGCGACCAGCGGCTGCACGTCTGACCAAAAACAACAACACAGCAATAACAACAATTCAAATTGGAGCATACTGTGCATTCAAATCAATATTGATTCAATTTCATTCCATGAATATTTATTTATTCATCAATACGAAATGTGACTTTTCGCCATTTTTCATTTCAAAATTTATGTTTACAACAGCAATAACAACAACATCGACTACTTCTGAAAATGATGGCATTAGTGTGTGTGTGTGTGTGTGTACGCTGTGTGAGCACATTACATGTATAATTTTCATCGCTTCGTGAAATTCAATTTAAATTTCTGCATCGCTCCTGATCGGTTTTATCCAATATCTTCTTGTATCTTCATTGAATCATCGTTGACACATTCCACTCTACCTCCGCATTGTTGTGCTAAAAAAATTCCAAGAACAGTTGTGCTGTTTTTGTTTTGTTGTTTTTTTTTTCATTTTTACCTAATCTATATATCCAATTTGATGCGTTTGCAAAGAAAACTTTCCCCATAAATCTTTGTGTGATTATTTCGTTGAGAAAGTGCACGGGAAAAACGTTTGAGCATTTTAGTTTATATTCCGCTTAGTCTCGCAATACATGCACAAATGGTGCGGAATAGTGTGTGTATCGGTTTGGTAAATTATGGTTCTCGTTCATCAGTTAGCCACCGATATGATGAATATTGTATAAATAAGTTTGAAGTTTTCGAGGTTTTACTCCACCAACTGTGGTGTATTCTCTCTCTCTCTATCTCTCTCGGTGTATATATAAGTTTGGTTCTCGACGCACAAACACACTGATACATTCCATGGTATTCTCTGTATATGCATGTTGCCGGTATAAATGAGTTTGTAATCTCGTTCGTATATTTATATATATATATATATATATAAATTATGTTATATATGTTGAATTGTTGAATACTGACTGCAATAGGAGGAAAAGAGAGCGAAACAGCAAGAGCGTTCATTGTTTCAAAGGTAAAAGTTCGTGAATAAATCGTAAAATACGATGTTCAATTCTTCAAAATGAAACGGACTTTCGACTTATGAGGTGTCAGTGTGATGAAATTGGTACTTTTTCGGGATTTGTTCGCAATGCAAACTGACGTGAGCCTTTGAACCGCTGCGATTGAAATTGTCCACATAAAATTTAATTAGCTGCGTCGAATAGAGCGGACGGAGAACTTTGTAAAATCATTTGAGTTTAGTTACGAGGTTACATAAGGGATTCACGTAAGGTGTTGTATTGCAAAAAGTCGCATTCATCACTAGTGAAAATTTTGATAAACCACTGCTTCAGATCACTGCAGATTTTTTTTTTCCTCTGTTGCGTCCTTGCCTGCCGTAAGGATTTTTCAACACTTTGTCATTGAAACGCTATTTGCACGATTTTCCTTTCTTTTTGCACTCGTCTTTTGATTGCTTCCACTGACTGCATTTGTGTGGAGTGTTTTCCATTGCGATTTTTATATTCGCTTTGAGCAAACAAAAGTAACAACAACAACAGAAAATAACCACAAAATTTCACCAGAAGTTTAAACTAAATGATTTATTGCACTTTATTACAACTTTTATTTAAACACACGAAATTGCAGATATGTATACTTGTATACAATTACCCCACGGCGAACAACAAAATAACCGAAGCGAAAGAAAGAGAAACATCAAGCAGCGGCGACGGCGACGGCGACGGCAACGCCATTTCACACAGAAATAATAGAGCAAACAGAGAATGCGAACGAATGCAAATAA